GAAGATGGATGAGATATTTCATTGATAGTAAGACCGTCTCCCCGTTGGTTCTGTACAGAAAGAGGCTTACTTTGCTAGATCCCTTAAACCCGCTGTTCGGAAACAGTCGTGTATCAATTTTTTCCAAAATTCAGTTTGAAAGGAAAAACTTCATAAAATCATTGATTTGCCCTCTTGCGTTTTTTTCATTTAACTTCTATGATTAAACGATAATCTCTACATCACTTTAAGTTCGTCATCTATTGATTATAAATATAGGTTTTTCTTGAAAAAAGTTTTCGAAAGCATCCATTTCATTGAAAACTCTGCTAAAATCGTACGTTTGTTATCTAGTCATTACACATGGAACAAGAGGTATACAAAAATGATGAAGCATTGGTATATGGTTCTGTATTTGCCATTGAAATTTGTAAATAGATGATCGCGTTCTAATTGAGGATATAATTCATCTTGAGAAAATTATCTCCGTATTGGTTGATCAATTATTTTCTTTTTGTTTTCTCTTTATTTACATGGAGGCACTTCTTTGCTCATGATCAAGCATCGTTTGGTTGATATTTTTAAAAATGAAGATGATAATTTTTTGCTTTCAAAGAGTCATCTGCAGAATTCTCGTTGATTAATCGGTGTAGTATTTAAAACACACGTAAGTCATCCTTTAGAAACGATATGATTTTTAATGGACGAATCTAATTGTAGCTCGATTGAATAAAACAAAACGATGAACGATATACTTAGGACATGTCAAAACTATTGAAATGTGCAGCTATAGCTTCAAAGAAAAGAGAAAATCAAATTTTTATTTCTTCAAAACTTAAATATAGTGATCCTAGTTATTGACAAATGATTTAACTTATTGTATTGATTTATCAGGAAGATATATGGTAACCACACATTCAAGCATGTCTTGCTTTTGGTTAGAATCACTAAAGTAATTCGGAATTTCTATCATTCACTTGATTTTATTTCTGTGTATCGAATAATCCTCAATCATTAGAAAATGGAAGCTTGACATAAGTCATTCTTTGCTTTTGGATTCATTCAAAAGAACTTGTAAAGAATAATGAGTATTGTGATTATGATTAACGGAGCATTCTTGTTTTACATGATCGGTTAAAGCAACGGTAGTTATTCTAGAAAACCTATTGAGTGGTGTATTGAATAGAAAACACATGTTTTCAAACCATACGAAGGAAAGTCACTTTGATAGCTGATCAGATGGCATGTTACAAGGAAATTTTTCGAATTTTTCCATACATATTCCAATTTGCTCAACCGATCAAAAATCATTTCGCCTGACTGGGTTTCTGAGGAGTCGTCATTTTTTAATCTGCTAGGTGATTATAAATCGTTCTTTCAATGACGATACGACTCATACCAGTTGAAACTTGCATTATTATCAAAATTAATATGAGAATCATCCTTACTGGAGTAATGACCTTATTTAGTATTTTCGAGTGTTGTCTTAGTTATAAGTTTATCTTCAATCTCTTTTACACCTTCAGAATATAATGCTAATCATTTTCTGGGTGTACTAAAAAATAGAGAATCCCAGTCAAAAGCAGATATTGATTCAGTGTAGCTTTTTCTGTTAAGTATGATGTGTGGCATGTATTTTAATACAAGAACGAAAATGCTCGGTCTTTCCAAAATATATGGATGGAGCAATTACATTGATATTTTCACGTAAAAATTAACCCAAACTGTTTTATTTCTCTAGTATGTTTAAGTCTTAATTCCTGATGCTTATGCTTATGATTATAATCTATGTGACAGGTTTGTATTGGATAGCTATTGACCAATCATTTTGAGACATTTTGCTTGAGTATTTTGTTTCATAAGAAATATATTTTTATGTAATTAAAGAAAATTTAATTGTTTAATAAATATTGCATTTGGTTTTGTTAATTTATTTTTGGCATTGTTGTTTGTTGTTCAATCTGCGTTGCTAGGACACAGGCTTTTATTGAGGCTTGCCAAATAACTCAATCACAAGATATGGAATGTTGAAAAGGATAAGTTCCTTTTTTAATAATCCTCTCGATTTTTCAAGGTTCATAAATTTTTGCAAATAATGAAAATTTGATTTCTTTCATTTTCTCATGCATGATTAATATCTTTCATTTTTTTGTTTTAAAGGCGTAAAAGATTCTTTTGATACCTATGGCTTTAATGAATTCAAATGCAATGATCAATCTCAATCGAATGACATTTTTAATGTCAATTTCCGAAATAACACCACAATTATTCATATCAGGTTTATTTCTTATGAAAATATTATCTTATCTTAATTTTTTTAATATTTTCTTCAGGTCAAATGGCTGCAACTGTTGAACAAATACAAAAATTAGGTATCACTTATATATTGGTAAATATTTTTTTCTCAACAAAAAAACTGAAAATTTAATTTTTTATATTTCTATTAAAAGAACGTTGCTATTGAATCTACTCCTATTGTTTATCCGAAACCTATCAAATTAGAAAAATTTGATATTATTGATTTTCCAACGGCTCCTATAAGTAATTATTTTAATATATTAACAGATAAAATGCATACTCATATTACTACCAATAAACAGAATAAAGTACTTGTTCATTGTATGGCTGGTATTAGTCGAAGTAAATAAAATCATATGTTTTTCTTTTCTTTTTTTAATAGAAGTTTTTTTTTCCTTAGGTGTAACAATTGTTTGCGCTTATTTAGTTCGTTATATGAATATGACTTTACGAGATGCATATTTATTATGTAAAAGACATCGGCCAATTTGTTTTCCAAATTTAGGTTTTTGGAATCAACTTATTTCATATGAATATCAAATAAGAAAGGAAAATAGTGTTAAAAGTAAGTTTATCTTGTCTGAATTTATTAATAGAATATATTTATTTGTTTTTTGAATTCTTATATAGGTTTCTAGAATAATAGAAACCATTTAACAGTACATAATCAAATATGTTTAAAGACATAGATTTACATATATAGTATTGAAGATGAGACTATTTTGAATACTCTAGGCCATGTATGCCCAATAGCTGTTTTGTTAAGTCGTATAATAAGACTTGTCAAATAAAGGAATACATAAGAAATTAAATTTATTCTATTTTGCTTCATGTCTTATTTGGCTTGTGTGACATTCATACTTTTACTTCTGTAAACGTAGAAAACTAAAGTGACATGAATTCAATTTCACCTTTGTCGATCTGTTAACCACTATATGCTTGTAAATAATATTTTTAATGGATACTTCTGTGAGTAATCAATCTGAAAAAAACATGAGGGTTTTTAGAAGATCTTTTAGTTTGTAGACTTCGTTGGACTGATCATTTTAATAGAAAAAAAAATATTCAAATTTACTTAATAAATCATGATGCAAAGTGAAAGTACTCGAAAACGTCAACTAACACTCAGCAGCAGTAAAGAGTAGCCGAAGTTTTTTCTTCAGTATTTTAGTTCTAGCACGATGATTTATTGAGTAAATTTGAATATTTTTTTTTACCAAAATGATCAATGAAACGAAATCTACAGACGAAAAAATCTTCCGAGAACCTTATGTTTTTTTGCAGTTGATTACTCATGAAAGTATCCATCAAAAATACGATTCGCAAACATTTTATTGTTGCTATTATGGTAGAATATCTAAAAGATTTTCTTCATAAGAAAAACTTTAATTTGATCTAGAAGATGAAAAACTCTATCTAAAAAAGAGATTCAAAATTGACATTTGACAAGAATATCATATGAGAACTACATGTATCACTGTAATCTTAATGATAGAATAATTTAATAAAACTGTCAACAGCATGTGTTACAGTAGTAAATTAACATATAATGACTTTGACAATTTGATAATATGATGTCTTTAATTAATTGTATGTTTAAAACCTTCGTATTTTTAATCTGACATAAATGTGCACGATATTTATCTTCTCATTTTATTCTTCTTTCATTGAATAAATGTTTTTGATAAGTTAATTTTCTTCTATTCAGTGATTCCAACACAATTTGGTCATGTTCCTGATGTTGCATTTGAAGAAATTAAACAAATGCGTAATCAACAACAACAACAACAACAGCCGGCATCATTACCATTTTTTGCTCCAACATTTGCTTCAACACTTAATAATCCTAGTATTAATAGTTCTACAACTAATGATACATTATTTTTATCATCAAGTCAATCTCGACCAACAGCTCGAGATATAACTATAACAAATTCAACTGGAACAACACGATCTCGTTCATTAGCTTCAAATGCAGTCAATCGACCAACAATCATGGCAAATTCAACAAATGTTAACAATTCAATTTATCAAACACCATTAGTTACAACAAATAAACAATTATTTTCAACGCCAACACGATACGGTATAAGTCGTTTAAATCCATCAATGACAACAATAAATAGTTCTCTTCCATTAGGACCAACTTCATCACAAAATTCCTATGCTAGTACTCGTACATTACCAATAACTACTTCACCAAATATAAAACAACGTAATAATCATTATCATCAACCAGCAACTGTCACGGCTACTTTATCAAATACATCAACAAATAATGAACAACAACGTTCACATTATGAAACAACATATCGATCTAGTTTTATTAAGCCATTAGTACCTTAATACAAAGAAGAACAAAAAGAATAAAAAAAGATATATATTTTTATTTTATTATTATTTTCTGATAATTTTTTTGAATGATTTACAAAAAAAGAATGATATGCGCCTACCCTAACGTGACAAATATTTGTACTTTTTTTCTTCTTTCATTTTGTTTTTGCAACAATTATTTTCTTTAGGCGTCAGATGAGTATCTTCTTCCGTTTGTTTTTGATTTGTTAACCTCATTTGTGTATCAAACTCGGTGCGTGCATATGAAGAAGATTAAAAGAAAAATATTATGAAACAATAAAATAATAATAAAATTATATTTTCTTTTTCATTTTAGAAAAAAAAAGTGTGCGTATGTGTATATATGTATAGAGTTTTCTAAATAGAATATGTTGGGTATTACAGAAGTTATTGATAATTTGTATATATCTGGTCTTGAGTCCCGTCAAGCGATATTAAATAAAGGTATTCGTTGTGTTATTAATATATCATCCGAATGTCCTATGCAAGATCTTGGTCCAACAGTTGAATATGAAAAAGTAAGCATACTTGATTTACCAACAACATCAATACAACCTTATTTTGATCGATTAACTGCTCGTATACATCAAAATTTACAACAAGGAAAAAAAACACTTGTTCATTGTTATGTTGGTCGATCAAGATCAGCAACTATTATTTTAGGTAAACAAATAAACATAAATTAAATTAATGAATATTCTTTTTTTTTTATTTTTTTTTTAATTCAACGGATGTTTTTTTGAAATTTATTTTTAAAGAATCCTTTACAATAAGATAGAATTTTGCCCGTGTCTCTCTCCTAAAAGTTTATATAGTGGATTTGGTTTTTATCAATGATAAGAAACCAATATAAGTCATCAGTTTGTGCATCTGAAATACATGAATGTTGACAATTTGGGCTTAAAATAAATGTTTTCTCTCCAGACGTACTGTTGACATAGAATACTGCGGCTAAATGTGTCTTTCTTTACTCCAAAAAAAGAAATGCATATAAGAATCTGATAAGATATTTTTCGCCAGTACGAAATATATGGGTCAGAGTAGGGCAAAATTGACATTACTATAATTAGACCGTGATAATGCGATCGCTTTTTCTCTAAAACACAAAAAAACATGCATTTCTTATAGAGATAGGAATAATTCGATTTCAAACCGAAATTGATTTCTTAGAAATTCGGCTAATATTTTCTCCACATATTCACTTGTTTGAAAAAGTTCGAAAAATTATTCAAATGTGGAATTCTTGATATTTATCTGATATAAAACACTCTCTGTTTAGTTAGTTTTTGACTTGATTTCAGCTCTGTGGATGAAAAACAATGCTCGAAATAAAATTTCGATATCAAAACCGAGTAGAATGATATTTGTTTTGACAAAAAAAGATTTTTCCACAAAAATATAGCTGTACTTCTTTCCAGTAATTTATTCAAAAAATTTTCCCTCTGGTCCCTGCGGGATATTTTTTTTTGTGGAAAATACGGCACTAGTACAATTCGTCGCACATCCATTGTAGTGGATACATTGATTGAATTAAGTAATTTAGTTTAAAATGTTATACAATTAATCGCCTTAAAAAAAAAGTTTGTTTAGACTCATAAGAATCTTTTTTCATAATACAATGATTTTCTCAAAAATAAAATAGAGATATCAATTTAAAGCCTATTTTAAAATTTAATTAAAAAAATTGGAGNATATATATATATATATATGTTATAAACAAAATTTTTTCTCTATGAACTGAAAGAATAATTTAACTTTTTTTTGTTTGTCTTCTGTATATGAAAATATTGATTTGAATTATCTAGTTATTCTTCGGTTAATTCTATGTTCTTTTTTTTTTGTTCTCTTTGTATAGCAAAAGAAAAATCATTTATAATTAGATGAAATATATAGATTTATTAATTTACATTTGCTTTTTAGTCTTTTAAATCAATATTTGTTAAATGAATCTCATATATTTAGGTGTAATTTTATGACAATAAAATTATACACTTAACTATCAAAGACTGAGTTCAAAATATAATACCTAATTAATTGTAAGTTCTAACGAGAATAGAATATTAGGACCATTTGGAATCATACATATGGGCAATAATTATTATGCTCTATGCAGAGAACGATGGATTTTATCTGTTAATGCATTTATTTTACATGTACCCTCGGCTACTTAATATTCATGGTGCGTCTTGAATTTATGGATCATTGAAAAGAGCATCACTGAAAGTATTTAGATTACATGCACATGTTGAATAATCGTTATTTCTAATGTATCGTTTATAATTCAATTGATATAGAACTAGAAGAGATTGTGATTATTGATAATAATCAGTAGGTCAGCAAAAATAAAAGACCTGATTTAGAATATAAAACCGTTTTAAATATTAAGAGAAGAACATGTAAAAATTGCATAACGAAAAAGTATTGTGTGTGGGGTTTTAATTGATATCGATGATTAATATATATATATATAGTCTTTTTGATTGGTCTAAAGTGCGCACTTTAGTTTTTGAGAGTAAGACACATTTAGGTTGTCAACAGTTTATGCAATCGAAATCAAATAATTTTTGTTGAACGAATCAATTTAAGCATGTGTCTGGAAGTATTTTAAACTTAATCAACAATGTTAATGGAACAATTGCGAGATGGGGATTAGTGCGTATGATTTGACGATGAATTCTGCTGTTAACCAACACATTCATAAAATACAAAAAACAATTTCAACAAATAAAACAAAATCGATGACGACACATCAACTCTTATTTAGTACCTTTAAATCAGTGGTTGATCTAGTCATTTTTAGGCATTTTCTGCTGAGAAAAAACGAAAAATATTTCGAAAGGGAAAGGCAGCCGCCCCCAGGTATCCTTCTCGACTGAATTCGCCACTGCTTGAAACATCCTTTCATCGAATCTCATGAGTATGATTAACTTAGTACATCGTATGTCTGTATTTATATGAGCTTAAATTTTGTTAATGTGTAAAAAAAATGTTTCAAAAATTTGTTTCACGTTTTTCTCAGAAAATCAGTTCGACTTCTTATCTCTAGAGAAAATTTGGCTATTTTCATAAAAATTTATCAGTTTGATTGAGAATTTCATGACTTCATATCTGTCACAACATTAAAGCAAGGAGAAAACCAAAGAAAAAGCATCACAATAGTCGCTAAACACAAGCATCTTTTCAAAACCAAAAAAAAAAGAAAATATTGAAGTGCTCAGTGGAGATAGCAATGTGTCGTTGAAGATGTCACAGGCTTCAAAATGTCTCTCATGCACATACTGATATTGTCCTAGCTTTCACCACGAAAGTGATACAAGACTGAACGTTTTTTTCTACATATGGCTATACACTTATTAATGTGTTTACAAAGTTTCAACTTAATATCATCTTCTAAATTGAAGATCTTCTTCTGAACGGGAGAAGAGCTCAGAATGTAAATCAAGAAATGAGATTATTTTATAGAAAAGACCTTACTTCACTCTCAAACATTATTTATTTAATGTTATATACTATTTTCATATCGCATACAGTGGTGTCACGGATGATAAAATGCGACTCTACCTTGACATATATACTTGTTTCTTTCTTTAATACAGGCTCGATTCACTAAATATATAGATATATTTCAAAATACTTTTCAAATTTTAATCAACAAAAACAAAGATTGTCTTTCACTACGAAATTCATACTGATCTTTCTTTTTATTATTTTTTACAAATATGTCATATTGAATGACCTCCTTCATTTCTTCAAAACGAAACGATTATTTTATTGACAAGTCTCTCTCTATACATGTCTTTATCTCTCTATCAATTGAAACGTAAATGATACGATTACTAGGCGTAACAATTGTTCAACATGTGAATTTAATCCATATGTATTTTATCAATCCAATTTTTATATTTCATGTCGTCAACAAGATCAAAAATATTTTTACTGATGTTGATCTTTGTAAAATTCATTCATGCTATGATAAATCTTAGTGTTGTTCACAGTAAAACAATGAATATTGTTCTCCAATGCCAACTGTCATAATGTCTTATCTTTCCAACTATTATTCAGATGCTAATTGTAGACAAAGAGAAAATTGTTGTAGAAACATATAAACTAGCGAGAGAACGTTTTCAATTGATCAATCACTTTTATATTTGAACTCTATTCATAACATAAGCTTCATTGAAATCTAAAAAACCTCAAAAAAATAAGTTTAGTTGGATCTTCTGTTCAGAGTTATAGGCATGTTACTAGAATTTTAGTTTCTGACATGGCATATACTAACAAATTAAATGGCAGTATTTTCAACCTGAGATTTTACCCACAGACAGGTCTATTTGTCAGTAGAATGCTCTGAAAGTTTTAGCGCAAATGAATTTTTCCTTCTCCAGTTGTTAAAGTCCCAGAAAATAGTAAATTCTAGTATCTTTCGTGAGATATGAGTGATTTTTTGGAACTGTAATATCTCTGGAAGAAAACGCTCTTTTCAGCGAAAACTTTCCGAGAATTCTACTGACGAATAGATCTGTCTGTGAGAAAAATCTCAGACTGAAAAAGCACTATTCGATTCGGCAGTATGTATCATAGCTGAGACTAAATCTCTCGTAAAATGCCAGTAACTTTATATAGGAAGCCAAAAAGGACTTATTCTTTCAAGGTTTTTCATAGTTCATTAGAGTTTAACTTATGCACAGATATTAAATTCAAAAGAATTGATCAATTGAAAACATTTCCTCGTAAGTTATATGTTACCTTTGTTTCCATAATTGTTGCAATCAAATAAGTGATTTATTGTTTTTTCAAGAATTTTAAAAACGAATTCTTCTACAAACAAAATCAATATTTCAATTGACTTTATTCTTTTTTATTCTCACATTTATCATATAGAAATGAAATGAACATATTCCCTAAAGCATTTCATGTTGGTATTTTCTTTTCGTACAATGTCGGTCGATGAACAAGATGTTTTGTTGCTCCTCCTGAGTGTCGTCTTTTTCTTTTTAATGTCTTTTATCGTTTGAATAGTATGCTTCAAGCGCCGTTCATTTATAGACATGTATGCATGAGAGATATCACGTCTTAGCATTTCTTTTTGTTTTTTTTTTCTTCTTCTATTGTTTGCTCATCAATTTATCGTTTAATCGTTTTTGATTTTTTTATTTTTTCTAGCGACAAATCATCATTATTATCGTCATCAGTTCATCAAGAAACAAGAAAAAGAAAAAGAAAAAGAACATAGAGATATAGGGGATGTCTCTCAAACGACGTACCTTTACACACGTTCATAGCCTTAAGACACAAAAATAAGATCTATATGCACTTTGATGTTTTTGAATGTCGTCTTTTCTTGTGACAATATGTATTGAGCAAGTGTATGATGTCTTTTGAGTGAGTGATTGATTATTGTAATGTCGTTTTACTGTACTCAATTAGTTAATGTTAGAAACTTGATGCTTATATGTTAATGGACGTGAACAACTAGTTCGAAAGAATGAATAATGAAGAGCATATATAATTCACACAATCGATCACAAATTTATATATATATATATACATATGTGTGGAATAATAAGTCAGGTGCAATTGATTTAAATTATCTTATAAGAAGGCAAGAGAGAAAGAGAAAGAGAATATAAGCTAACATTTCCGGTAAATCACTTGTTCAATCTAAAGAATGTTGATACTTAAACTT